CCACACTCTCTGGTACCGGTAACCTTGGTGACGGTTGTTCTGAGCTCTGATTGGCTGGTGGCACTTTTGGTTGGTCTTGAGTGGCGGTTGCGTTGGTGGTTGTACCAGCGGGGGTCTTTGCTGGATTATTTGTCTCTTGAATTTTCCGCCACATCGCTTTTGACCTTCGCTGGGCCTGGGAAAGCAAACCTGTAAAAACAAACCAAAACATCGTACATGTATAGGGGATAACATATTATGTACATGCATAGGGAAAAACATGTACAATTTTGTTTAGGGAAAAATATATGTACATGTATAGGGATGAAATGCATTTTTCTCCTTGGTTCATACCATAAAATTTGTTCCATTGATTTCTATGGTTATATTACTACCGAATGATTCTTCTTTCATTACCAAGTGGTAGAAGGAGAAAATGCACATGGATGAAAAGTATTCAGGTGTAAACATGCAAGATATTGTTACTGAATGACATTGACTCTTTTGCCAAGTAGTAGAGGAAGAGGGGAAAAGATCTTACAGTCAGGTCTCATCCCAGCAGCTTTACATGACCTGAGTCGACACTCAGGACATCTCCTCCTGGTGTACAGGTCCATACTGCACTGGTTCCCCCATTTGCAAACTTTCACGTGACCGCGGGTTACACTTCGGCGAAAAAAACCTGCAGTAAGAAGAAATCAGAGGGATCAGACTTCTGGGAAGTATTTTTGGGCTTTAGTAATCGTCAGGTTTACTGTATTTTCTAAAATCAAAGCAATAAAACAATTATACTTGAAGAAACTGACAGGGACAACCGGTCCTGACACGCTGAATAAAAGTGCTAATCGTGTGTAGCTTCAGATGTCTTTGTAAGCTGGGATGACTGCGGTGTGCTATATGTCGGTTAGCAAAGGAATGACTTTACTTTATACTGGTTTAATATTTTTTATTGCTTTGGAAACTGGAATCCACTTACAGACATTTATAGTGCAAGCAAGATTTGACAGGAGCACTGGGTGCTCCTAAGAAACATTTTTTGGAGCACAACTTGAGTTTGGAAGCATATGCTCCCAAAAACAGAGCAGTCTGAAGGGCTGCCAGCCTGCCACTCACCCTTGCACCCCTCACAGCTGAAGACACCGTAGTGGAACCCGGAGGCCTTCTCTCCGCACACGAGACAGTCACTACTGGTCATGGCTGACATGGCCGACGTGACGGCCTCCTGCACTGCCCCCGCATCATCATTGTCCTCAAACACCGCCGCGATCGTCACCCTTTTACTCATGGTGGCGCACGGACTACTTCTTTACCTCTGAAAGAAACACAGAAATTCAACGTAAGGAAAGCAGATACTTCAGACTCCTGGGAAGTACAAAATCCCTGGCTTCCTGAATTGTGATATATATTTCAGTACTCTCCAAGCAGAGGTTGGTGGTGGAAGTTTATTATTCTTTCTATATATGCTACGTTTATTTCTGTCGCTACCCCCACCGCAGAATACTATTTCAGTACCTCTCAGTCCTGCTGGCTCCTGGCCAGGTTATGTCAATGACTTATGAGACTTTCAATTTTGACCTCCTGTCACTCTGCCTTGCCCTGTCAATCTTCCCTACCTACATGCTGTCAACCTACTCTGTCTGGAAACCCACAGCGCAGCCACCCAAAACAATACTTCTGTACCTGGGAGTAACAGAGGTTGGTATGTTATATTGGACAAGAGGACAAGAGGATAAAAACTATGCTACTAATTACAAGGGTCATGATCTATGTTATGTCTGTAACGTCTGGTACTAGTACATAGAAAGGTGCAGGTTAGATGCAGGTTAGGTATACGTACACAAATACCTACACAGCTCCAATTTTACCTGCACTAACCTGCAAATATGCAGGAGGTCTTTTGAACCCTACTATGACAACAGAGACTTGTCTTTACACTAATGACAGGACAGGCTACTGCATGACTCATACGTACAATATGAAGTGACACGTTGCCACCAGTCAGGGTCCCAGGTACATGTAATGTTGTTTTTCTAGACACTTAAGTAATCAAGCCGGATGTTCTGCTTACAAACTGTGTCAGATAGCAATACCCAG